GGTGGCAGGGAGTCACAAGGCCCCAGGACATTTCTGGGATGTGTAGGATGATGAGATTATCAGAATAAAGGGAGGTAGAAGCAGCATATCCTCAGAGACCATCATCTCAAACAGTGTGACGTGGGCTGAGTCACTTCCCTGCTCTGGGCTGCGGGTGTGTGTGTGTGTGTGTGTGTGTGTGTGTGTTAATCAGTAAAACAGAGATGATAATTCCCACCTATTCCCACCTCACAGGGCTGTCAGGACTTGGGCACGACCAGGCAATGACAAACCTGGCTCTGGGGACCCGATCCCAGCCGAATGAGGCCATCTTGCCACATGGAACTTTCTTGCTCATCCTGGTGGTGAGATGGTCACAATCCCCACGTGCAGGGCTGCTGTGAGGATTAAATGAGATAGTCAGTCAGTGGCCTGGCGGCTGGATCATCACGTCCGATAACTGATAGCTGCTATCGCGTCCATCACTGACTTTTGTTCCCGGCACGGAGTAGGTGTCCCGTTCGTGTTGGCTACTGTGGGAATGATGACTGTTAACAGAAAACGCAAAATTGGCGTCACAGAGCATGAGTCAGCGAAGGGTCAGCGGACAGACACCCCATCTTGTTCTAGATCACCTCCTTATTTAGCACAGGAAACACGGAGCCCCACGGGAGAACGCCAAGCCCCAGACCACCGCCAGCTCACTTCTGCCCATCCAGTGATCTCAGCCGACCCCGCTCCATCCAGCAGACGGGGCCATTTAGGGTGAGGGCCCACACGAGGCCTCAGTTTCTCCCTAGGAACTGCTGTTTGACGGCCCAGGGTGGGAACGAAGGGGCTTCGGGTGGACTGGAGTCAGCCAGAAAGAACTGGAGGGTAGCAGCAGAAAAATGCCCACTTAGTCAAGGTGACATGCTTCCGGGAGGGGTCCACAGATGTGCGTGTGCAAGGGTGTGGCTCAGAGACAACTTCTGGACAATGACCGTGACCGCCATCTGGTGCGCACAGTCTGTGGGCCGGGCCCTGTGACAAGTGTATGCGTCACGGGAATCTCTGGCGCCCTGTGAGGTGAGCGCTCTATCGGCGAACCGAGGCACAGAGAGAGGCTAAGGAACGGCTCAAGCCCTGGCCGCCCTGGCCGGACTGGCCGGCAGTTAGAGCGTTGGCCCGCGGACCAGAGAGACTCGGGTTCGGTTCCCGCTAAGGGTACTTGCCTTGGTGGCAGTTTGTCCCCGGCCCTGGTTGGGTCAGGGCCGTGCGTGAGGCAGCCGCTCAATGTGTCCCTTTTACGTCGATGTTTCTCTCTCTCTCCCTCCCACTCTATCTGAACAAAAGATGGAAAGCTGTCCTTGGGTGAGGATAAAAAAAATAATAATAATAATAAAATTAAATTTTAAAAAAGGAACGGTTCAAGGTCCCCCAGCTAGTCCACGCTGGAGAGGGGACTTGAACCTAGGCTGTGTGGCCCAGAGCCTGTGACCCTCCACACCACCCTGCTGCCCCCATGGGCCATGCCTCGGGCTCATGTCACCCTCCTCACTGTGTCACACGGTTTTCACATCTGTGGTCTCATGGTCAACTCCTGCATCGCCCTCTGAGGCTCCAAGGGTCCCCGCCTTGGCCCAACACCAAGTAGGGTGTCATTCCCTCAGCAGGTATTTCGGAGCCTTACCACGTGCTGGGCTGAGCCGGGGCAGGTCGGGCGCGCCATTACTGGGCACGTGGCTTTGACTCTGCAGGAATGGAATCTACCTGTCCACAGTGTGTGCCCTCCCGAGCAGCAGAGGGGGCAGGGGGGCTTTTGTGGGCATGCTCAGCCAGGCAAGGGATGTGGGTGGCCGGGGTCAAGAGGCAGGGCTGCCGATCTTTGCTCTGTGCCTGCTGAGCCGCCGTCACCTCAGCCAGCTCCGGCCCTCGCCGGGCCTCCGGTTCCTCCATCGGAAGAATGAGGCCAGGGTGAGTGGGGTAGTCTTCAAAAGTCCGTTCCTCTTGTGAAGGTGGGCTACGGCCTGCCACCGCGATGTGGGCTCAGGCATGCCCCCTTTCGGCTGCAGTTTTTTGTTTTAATCAGTAGAGATGATAATTCCCACCTCACGGGGCTATCGGGACCTGGGCATGACCTAGTGATGCTGGACCTGGCTGTGGTAGGCTTGGGCTCTGGGCTGAGGGTCCGCGGGGGATGTTCCCAGTCTGGCCCGAGCAGGTCTTGGGCTGTGTCTCAGATCCTTGCTCAGCCCAGTCACATGCTGGCTCACGGAGTGACACCAAATGTCCCGGTGAGTCCCTCCCCGGAGCTGAAAATTCACACCTCCCTCCTCACCTGGGAAAGGTCTCCTTTAGTCTGTGTCCTCAGGCAGATCTGCTGCATCAAAACACATCCTATGACCCTGGCTGGTGCGTTTCAAAGTCACTTTGCAGACATTTTCTTATTCCAAATGAATAAAAGTCAAAATTATGAATTAATCATTCAAAACAATAACAAAGGCACCATTTACGGAGCGGCAGGTGAAGGGGCCTTCCTCTCCAGCTCTGACCCTCACGGTGACCCTTCTGTGGTATTGCTGGAATTGCTACTGCAGTTTTCGATGGGGAGACTGAGGTCCCGAGAGGTAGAGGCTGTTATGTAAGGTCACAACTAGGAATGACAGAGCTGGGGTATCATTGTGAGCCCAGGTCACTCCCTGCCCAACGTCCGCACTGTTGGCTCTCCTTCACCCAGGGGACCTACTCTGTTCCAAGCACCCTACTACGTGCTGGGGTGCCCGTGAAAAGGCCAGGCCTGCTCCCTGCACGGGTCACAGTCTATACAAAGCCCAGAAGGTGGTATTATTACTCATCATAGGCATAATGAGAGCTCTCTCTGCCTTGGCTCAGCTAACCCCAGCTCTACCCCTACCAGCGGTGTGACCCTGGGCAACTATCTTCCCTCCCTGTCCCATGGCTGTGAACTGGGGAAAATACTCATTCCTGCCTCACTGGCCGGCCGTGAAGAATTAATCAGGAAGCGCCTGGCCCAGAGAGGGTGCCGCACCTGTCAGTTTGTCCACATCCCACCTGCAAGCATGTTCTGCAAAGCTGAGGCTCATTCTTCGCTGTCGAACTCGGTCGTTGTCGACTTCATTTGACGGCCGAAGAAACTGAGGCCACAGAGTAATAGGCAAAGCTGGACCGGAGCCCCTGAGGGTCCCAGGCACGTGTTCCTTCCCCTCAAACCCCAGGGCACCTGCGTTCCTGGGACCCCTCTGGCCCTTGGTCAGCTGGCCAGGAACCAGAGCCTGGCCTGGGTGAGAAGGAGACCTGTGGTCACTGGCTGCAGCGGCAGCTTCAGGAAGCAGTGTTGAGAGGACTTCTAAGAAAGAGGGCAGTGGGAAGGGACACCCTGTCCCAGCCTGAGGGCCAGAGGTCAGCCTGGTTGCCGGCCCAGACGCCGGCTCTCAAGGCCGCTCCAGCCTGCAGCCCAGCCTGGCTCGGCCCACGCGTGTGGAGGCCGGCTGTGAGGCTGTGACCTGCCTCCACCCAGACCCTTCCCAGGCCTGGCCCTCTGGCCTTCTAGGTAGATGCCTGAGGCCAAAGCCTAGAGTGAGGTGGCCACGGGCAGGGCCGGGGCCGGGAAGAAAGCCCCCTGTCCCCTTCACCACTCAGGCCTTCGAGAGCACTGCAGTGCTGCACTTTGGGGCCAGGGCTCTTCAGTGCCAGCCTGGCTCTGTCTTCTTTTGCGGGAACCCTGGTCCTGGGCCCAAATGGCCCTGAGCTCTGGTTGTCTGGTCTGTACACGGGGGGACAACAGTAATGCCACCTGGGGGCAGGTGAAGCTCCAACTCTCTGAGCACCCAGGATGAACAGGTGTCCCAGCGACGTCAGCTTCTGTTCTGTAGGCAGGAAACAGGTGCTGGGCCCTCGGCCTTCCTTGGGCTGGGTGGGGGTTTCTCCGTGCTCTCCTGGGCTTTAGGTTTCCCGGGGTCTCATTTAAGTCCTCGACATGATCAGGCCCCTGCTCTGGGCCCAGCAGGGAGACCACCACGCAGAGGCCCTGACCACAGCCCGCTTTGCAGACCACAGGGTGCTGTGGGACCCTGCACTTCAGGGCCCTGTGTGGCTTAGGACCAGCACCAGAGGCCCTGAGCCCGGCCTCAGTGTCTTCAGCAGGCAAGGGGGGGGGGGGATCCTGTTACAGCCTCACAGAGCATTGTGTGGTGGTTACGTGAGATAAGAGGGCTCTGAACCCCGATGCCTGGAATTTTCTCTGAAACACCCGGAGGCAGGGCCAGTTGGCTGTGTCAGAGTGAGGTCACTAGGATGACTCACCCCAGGACTGTGACCCATTGGAGCTCTGGACTCCTGAGCGGCAGCTGGCTGGGGAACCCAGGACCCCCCCCCCGATCTCCACCCCAGTCCCTGCTTCTCAGTGACCCCAGCCCATGGGGGGTCCAGGCTGCCGGCCTAGGAGGGGCCCAGGGACTTTTGAAGGGAGTTTGGGGGGCCGAGCGAAGCAGCTGACCCACCTAGGGCTTTGCCTCACTGGCTCAGCCCCCACCTGGACCTTTCCGTCCCGCGGGCTATTTTGGGGCGTTTCTGCCTCTTGAATAGGTAAAGAAAAGGAAGCGAAAGAAGCTCAACCTGCGGCTTCTTCAGCAGCTGGCAGGTCCTTTTCTTCGTTATGAATTTTTAACATGCCGCGTGCTTGGAGCGACAGGGGCCACGCTGGAGAAACGGTACATGGCGAAGAGAAGTGCCCTCCGCTCCGTCCCGTGGGGCTGACTTCGGGCCCACTCGCAGCTTCAGAGAAAGGCGAGGCAGCCGCTCCAGACCATCCATCTTGCGACGAACACCAAGTGAGCACCTACTGTGTGCCCGGCGGGGTGCAGACCCCTCAATTTGCTTTTTCCCCCTCAACAACATATACTGGACGTCACAGATAATCTCTTTGGAGGGTTGTTTTCCGCCCTGGCTGGACATTGAACCCTTGGGAAGATTCTGGAAGTCCCCATGTCCAGGCCCCACCCAAGGTGACTTACATCAGAAGCTCTGGGGAGGGGCCCCAGGTGTCAGGACTCTGAAGGTTCTGTTCCAGCCATGAGAGCGGCCGCCCCGTGGTCCAAGGTGTGGAGCTCCTGTTGCCAGAGGTCAGGGCTTTGACAGCTGACAGTGCTACTTTCTGTCTGGGAAAATGGAAAAAATTAAAGTGTTCTTTTTGAAGTCAGACAAATATTCTCTTACTTTATCAGAACGTCAGATTCGCTCTCTTTCTCTTTGGGAAGGTGGCTTTGCCAGGGTCTGGACTTGGGTGGACCGGAGGTGCCCCCCTCCTGTTAGTCAGACAAAGCTGTCAATGAGGGGCTGGCAGATGCCGCTTCCGGGGACCCCATGATGGTGTGCCCTGTGAGAAGCCTTTCCAGTTGATCCTCGCGCAGATAAGGCCACCTGCTCCTCCTGTGTTCATTTCTACAGAAAAAATGTTTACAAACGCTTACCCCCATTCTGGAATTTGGTGATTTGACAGGTTGGTAGCTTCCGAATGGTGTGTGTATGGGTGTGTGTGTATGGGTGTGTGTGTGTGTGTGTGTGTGTGGTCTGGAGGAGTATCTCTTGTTCACCTGTGTCACCAGTGTCCTGGCTGCTGTGGCCAGTGACGTATGTCAATAAATATCTGCCACATAAAGGAGCCTGAATAGGCAGCATCGCGTGGGAGACTCGGACCCCAGCCCTGGGCTGAGGGTTCACGGGCTCTCCCAACCCCAGCTGGTGGGCATCTAGGTTGTTTCCAGTTTTTTGTTTTGTTTTTTAGCGAATATGAATAATGCTGCTAAGAACGCTGACTCACAAATCTTTGAGTTGACATATGTTTTTGTTTCTCTTAGGGTAGGTACCTCCAAGCGGACGGGCTGAGTCACATGGGTAAGTTTCTGTTTAAGTTTTTGAGGAACCATCGAACTATTTTCCAAAGATGTTGCCCCATTTCACATTCCCGCCTGCAGCGCACAAGGCTCTGTGTCTCCACGTCTTAGCCAACATCGGTACTATCTGGCTTTCAGATCATAGTCATTCCAGCAAGTGGGCTATAAATCACACTTCACGTTTCCATTTCTGTCGTGACTAACGATGTTGAGCAATCTGCTCACGTGCGTAGTATCTATTGGCGTGTCTTCTCTGGAGAAATATCTGTTCATATCATTTTGTTTGTTTTGTTCATCTTCACCCGAGGATATTTTCCCATTGATTTTAGATAAGAGTGGAAGGGAGGGAGGGACGGAGAGAGGGGGGGAGAGAGATAAAGAGGGAGAGAGGGAAACATGATTGGTTGCCTCCTGCACATGTCCCTGACTGGGAATCAAACCCACAACCCTTCGGCCCTTGGGCCTATACTCTAACCACTGAGCTAAACTTGCCAGGGCCATATCATTTTTTTGATTGTCTTATTATTGAGTTGTAGAAGTTCTCTGTAAATACTGAATAGAAGTCATGGATGCAATTTGGTTTTGTGAATATCTTGTCCAAATCTGTTGTTTTTTTTTGTCTTAATGATAGCTCTTAAGCATAAAAGTTTTTGAATCTTGATGAATTTCATTTTTTTTTCCTATTATAAACCATGCTCTGAAATTTTGGCCTAACCCAAGGTTTTGAAGATATTTTTCCTATGATTTCTTCTAAAAGTGTTATTGTTTTAGCTCTTACATTGAAATCAATGATCCATTTTGAGTTAACTTGTATATATGGTGTGAGGTTAAGGGTCTCAAGTCTTCGTTTTGCTTGAAGATGGGTAGCCAACTGTCCCAGCACTATTTGTTAAACAGATTATCCTTTCCTTTCATGAACTGTCTTGGCACTTTTGCTAAAAATCAATTGACCAGCCCTTGCTGGTTTGGCTCAGAGGTTAGAGTGGCGGCCTGTGAACCAAAGAGTCTCAGGTTCAATTCTGGCCAAGGGCACATACCTGGGTTGAGGTTTGTCCCTGGCCCTGGTCAAGTCGTGTGGGAGGCAACCAGTTGATGTGTTTCTCTCACATTGATGTTTCTCTCTCTCTCTCTCTCTCTCTCTCTCTCTCTCTCCCTCCCTCCTTCCCTTTATTCTATCTGAAGATAAATGGAAAAAAATCAATTGACCATGAATACAATTGATAATATTGTAATAACTATGTATGGTGTTATATGGGTACTAGACTTATCAGGGTGGTCACTTCATAAAGTGTATAAATGTCTAATCACTCTGTTGTACACCTGAAAGTAATATAATATTGTATGTTAACTATACTGGAAAATAAATTAACCTTTTAAAATAAATAAAGACCACAGCATTCCATCGCCGGGTGCTAGTGTATCATTACATCGAATGCACAATGGCTCCGTTGTGATCTTCTCCTTCTCTATTCTTAAGTTGTGTCTGAAATCACTGGGTGTAAATCAGAGGGCAGCATGTTAACCCTTAAAAATGGCTAGTGCTTATACGATGTATCAGAAAGATCCCTGTTAATCCTTTGGATGGTTCATTAAATGGAATAACTTAGTCCAATGGAAGGCTGTTTCTCTAGACTATGCAGGATTCCCAGGATTCACATGTGAGATTAAAATCAATCAGCAGAGCCCTGGCCGGTTTGGCTCAGTGGTTAGAGCGTCAGCCTGCGGTCCAGAGAGACCCGGGTTCGGTTCCTGCTAAGGGCACGTACCTCGGTTGCAGTTTGTCCCCGGCCCTGGTTGGGTCGTGCGGGTGGCAACCACTCGATGTGTCCCTTTCACGTTGATGTTTCTCTCTCTCTCTCTCTCCCTCCCACTCTATCTGAACAAAATATCAAAAAATGTCCTCAGGTGAGGATAAAAAAAAAACCAAAAAACCAATCAGCAGGGCCAGGAGAGTGTACATCTCTGTGGATGTGGCAGATCACTGGGGCCTCGCTTACCTTGTGCATAGACGGGGACCTTCTTGTGGGGACAGTATAAAGATGAACGGACTGGCTGTTGAAACAGTGTCTGGCACCAACAGTAAGCACTGGATCGTGTTCACATCACCATGTCAGCTGAGCCAGCTGTTTTTGCTGACAGTGTCCCTTTCACCCAGAGTTCACCTTGAGGCCATGTCACCGAACCACATTCCCTTAGGAAAAATTTCAGGCATACAGAAAGTTTGAAAGAAGACTACCATCCCTGGACACCTTTACATGCCCCACAAGGACTCAATACTTGTTAACGTTTTGCCACATTTAATTTATTAATGTGTGTGTGTGTTTCCTTCTGAACATTTAGAGCAGGGTGCTAACATCACGAGTTTTCGTGCCTCAGTTCTGCCGTGTGCATCTCATAAGGACAAGACAAGCTCTTAAGTGACCACCAAAACTAACACGTCCGATACATCATCTAACATCCAGTCCATATTCAAACTGCTGTCAAATTTTGGATTTTTGCCAATAGGACATAGCTAAACTGTTCTTTTCTCTGACTATGATTACAAATGAGCACGTCTGTCCATGTTCACGGACCTTCTGATGCTCTTCTGTAAACTATTGGCCCGTGGCTTTTGTCTGTTTTAAAAACATTTTTTTGTTGTTTTTATTTTCATTTCAATTTTTTTATTTTTTTATTCTCACCCGAGGACATTTTTCCTTTTTTGTTGTTGTTGTTGTTCAGATAGAGTGGGAGGGAGAGAGAAGAAAAGAGAGAGAAACATCGATGTGAAAGGGACACATTGAGTGGCTGCCACCCGCACAATCCAACCAGGGCCAGAGACAAACTGCAACTGAGGTACACGGCCTTAGCGGGAACCGAACCCGGGTCTCTCGGGACCGCAGGCTGACGCTCTAACCGCTGATCCAAACCAGCCAGGGTCATTTCAATTTTTAAGAACTCCTTAAATACTGGTGAAATTACCCTTTGTCTTTAAATTACAAATATTTTCTCTCATTTGGCCTTTATTTGTTTATTTATTTTTGTAACTTTGCTTATGGAGCTTTTTTTGCCATGCAGTTTTTTCCAATTTAGCTTTAATTTTTATGCAGTTGAATTTATCAAGCTTTTCTTTCATTGTTTCTGCATTTTTAGTCCTACATGAAAGGTTTTTCTCCCTCCTGGGTAATAAAGGCATCCCTGCACATTTTCTTCTACATGTTGTACACAGTTCATTTAAAAAATCTAGATCTCACCCTGGCCGGTTTGGCTCAGTGGTTAGAGCGTCGGCCTGCGGTCCGGAGAGACCCGGGTTCGGTTCCCGCTAAGGGCCCGTACTTCGGTTGCAGTTTGTCCCCGGCCCTGGTTGGTCGTGAGGGTGGCAGCCACTCGATGTGTCCCTTTCACGTCGATGTTTCTCTCTCTCTCTCTTCCTCCCACTCTATCTGTACAAAAAGAATAAAAAAAAAAATTAAAAAAAAAAAAAATCTAGATCTCTGGCCCCTTTGGTATTTATTTAGGTGTTTGGAGTGCAGTGTGGGTCCACTTCTGATCTTTGTGTTTTTTTTTCCAAATGGCTGTCCAATTGTTCTAAGATCATTTTTTTTTTTTAATTTAAAAATTTATCTTAAATGTATTGATTTGAGAGAGAGAGACAGGAAGGGGGGGAGGGAGGGAGGGAGGGAGGGAGGGAGAGAGAGAGAGAGAGAGAGAGAGAGAGAGAGAGAGAGAGAGGAATCAATTTGTTATTCCATTCCTTTATGCATTCATTGGCTGACCTGACCAGGGATCAAACCCACAACCCTGGAGTATGGGGTTGATGCTCCAACCAACTTAGCTTCCCAGCCAGGGCCCAAGATCAAGTCCCTCATGTCCCAGTGATTTGAGATGCCACCTTCATTATACACCAAATTGCCACATGTACTGGGGCACATTTCTGGACTTTCTACTCTGCCCTGTTGGTCTTTGGTTGTCCATGTTTCCAACTACCACACTTTCAACTGCCAGGCTTCACGGCATGTCTTATTACCTGGCAGGGCTTGCCCCACCTCACTGCCCTTTTAAAAAATTTTCCTGACTATTCTTTAAAAAATTTTTTTTCTTTATTGATTTTAGAGAGAGATAGAAACATTGATGAGAGAGAACATTGATTGGCCGCCTCCTGCATGCTCCCACTGGGGATCAGGCCCACAACCTGGGTGTGTGCCCTGACTGGGAATTGAACTGGTGACCTCTTGGTGCATGGGCCGATGCTCAACCACTGAGCCACACCGGCCGGGCCTGACTATTCTTGATAGTTTATTATATCATATCAACCTCAGAATCAACTTGTTTAACTCCAGAAAAACAACAACAGTATATTCATGAGGATCCTGTTAAATGGATGTATTTACCCAGGCCAAACGGACATCTTTGTGGCATTGAACACATTACTTTTTATCAGGGAATATCTTTGGACTATGGGCCCTGTCAAGGGTTGAATTTTGTCCCCCCACAAAGATATGCTTAAGTCTTAACCACCAGAACCTCAGCATGTGACCTGATTTGGAAACAGGTAATCAAGTTAAAATGAGATCATTAGGGTGGGACCTAATCCAATATGACTGGTGTCCTTATGTAAAGAGGAAATTTGGACCTAGGTAAACAGGGAGGACACCATATGAAGATGGAGGCAGAGACTGGGGTGACACCTCTACAAGCCGAGGACCACCACAGGCTACCGGCAAACCACCAGCATCGAGGGGGAGGGCCCGGGTCAGATTCTCCCTCCCAGCCCTCAGAAGGAGCCAGCCTTGCCAACACCTTGCCGTCCGACTTCCGGCCTCCAGAGCACAGCACACTTCTGTAGTTCTGAGCCACTCGGCTTGTGGGACTCAGTTACAACAGCCTTAGTAATGACTACAGAGCTTTCGGAGGGTCTCTTGGCCCAGAAGTGAGCAGCCAGCCATGACTTTGGGACATGTAGAGGCATTTGTGTGCCTTCTTGCCCCTGACACCCCCCTGCCCCAAACACACACCCAGCAAGCCCAACCAGGCCTGTTTCTGGCCTGAGGTTGGAGGAGTGAACCAATGAATGCATTAGAAAGCTGGAGGTGTGACTTCACTCTCAGCGGGTGGCCAAACCCTTTGAGGTCATGGCCAGTGAATGAATCATCTGTTCAGTGTGGCTCAGTGAGTCAGGGAGCACCACGCAGAAAGCCTGGGTCTAGGGCATATTTCCTTTTCCCTTTTCCTCTGAACGCAGATGCAGCCCCCTAAAAGTCACCATCCCCAGAAACAGTGACATGGTGCAGCGCGCCAACCTCATGCCACACCCACGGTGTGCGGTGGGGAGATAAGGACAAAGGACTTAGAAAACAGAGGGAGGGGCACCAGGTACCCAGCTGAGCCGCTTACTTGCCTTTGGACAAGTTAGTTAACTTCTCTGGGCCTCAGTTCACCTCATCGTTTCACACGGAGGTGTTAACATACCTACCTCACAGGGTTAGTATCACAGTCACACCAGAGGAACTGACCATAAAGCACCTGGCAAAGTGCCAAGCTCATAGCACGTGCTCAATTATTAGTAAGAGATGCCCCCCAATAACTTACCCACAAAAGCAAAATTGGGACACACAATTTCGGAGTCTTCCACCACAATTCTCATAACACCCCAATAACACCTCCCCCTCCTTCCTTCAGGGAAGAGTTTGACTAGAAAGACTATGACCTCCTTTGCTCCTTCCAACATTGATTAGTGTTCTCTAATTAGGAAAATAAAATTATGTTTCAATTTTCTCTAAAAAAAAATTTAACTAACAACAGAAAGCTGTCAGTTCCACAGGCAGCCGGGGTGGGGCTGTGTCCTTGGTTCGGGGACAGGCCTGAGTCACGGACGCCCTGCTAGTTCCTTGTCCCTCTTCTGGGCTCATCAGCGTTGGGCCAACAAACCTGCTTTGAGATTTGTGCTGGGGACCAAGAGAAGCAAGAAACCAAGTCCTCATTTCCAGGCTAGTGAGACAGACAGCAATGGTCAGGTACAGGACCATTCCTACAGGCTGCTTGGGCTTCATGTAGTCCCGCAGCAAATCCGAGCTGGTCTCTTGGGGTTATTAGTGTCCCATTTTATAGGGTGGAAAGCAAGGCTCCTGCCGGAAAGTGGTTGGTAACAGAGGCCTGTCTCTCAAAGGTATTTTGTTGGGTTTTTTTCCCTCACCCGAGGACATTTTTCCATTTTTTGTTCAGGCAGAGTGGGAGAGAGAGGAACAGAGAGAGAAAGAAACATTGACGTGAAAGGGACACATCAAGTGGTTGACACCCGCATGACCCAACCAGGGCCGGGGACAAACTGCAACCGAGGTACGTGCCCTTAGCGGGAACCGAACCCGGGTCTCTCTGGACTGCCGACGCTCTAACCGCTGAGCCAGACCGGCCAGGGATAATTTGTACTTCTTAATCCCTTCACCTTTTTCACCCATTCCCCCAACCCCCCTCCCATCTGGCAACCAACAAAATGTTCTCTATATCTATGAGAATGTTTCTGTTCTGCCTGTTCATTTTGTTTGTAGATTCAATTGTCGATAGATATGTATTCATTGCCATTTTGTTTGTTCATATTTTTTATCTTTTTCTTCAAGAAGACCCTTCAACATTTCATATAATAACGGTTTGGTGGTGATGAACTCCTTTAGCTTTTCCTTGTCTGGGAAACTCTTTTTATGGCCATCGATTCTAAATGACAGCTTTGCAGGATAGAATAATCTTGGTTGTAGGTTCTTGCTTTTCATCACTCTGAATATTTCTTGCCACTCCCTTCTGGCCTAAAAAGTTTCTTTTGAGAAATCAGCTGACAGTCTTATGGGAACCCTCTTGTAAGTAACTAACTGATTTTCTCTTGCTGCTTTTAAGATTCTCTCTTTGTCTTGAACCTTTTGCATTTTGATGATGATGTGTCTTGGTGTGGGCCTCTTGGGGTTCATCTTGTTTGGGACTCTCTGTGCTTCCTGGACTTGTATGTCTGTTTCCTTCACCAAGTTAGGGAAGTTTTCTGCCATTATTGTTTCAAACACATTTTTGATTTCTTGTTCTCTCTCTTCTCCTTCTGGCACCCCCAAGGTGCAAATGTTGGCACGCTTGAAGTTGTCCCAGAGGCTCCTTACACTATCCTCCTTTTTTTTAGATTCTTTTTTCTTTTTGCTGTTCTGATTGGGTGTGTTTTGCTTCCTTATATTCCAAATCAATGGTTTGCTTCTTGGCTTTACCTAACTCTACTATTGAATCTGTGTAAATTATTCTTTATTTCAGTTAGTGCCTCCTTCATTTCTGACTGTGCATCCTTCATTTCTGACTGGTCCTTTCTTATGCTCTTGAGGCCCTCACTAAGTTCACTGAGGTTCTCACTAAGTTCATCGAGCATCCTTATAAGCAGTGTTTTGAACTCTGCATCTGTTAGGTTGCTTATCTCCATTTCGCTTAGTTCTTTTCCTGGAGTTTTGTTCTGTTCTTTCCTTTGGGACCTGTTTCTTTGTCTCCTCATTTTGGCTGCCTCCCTAGGTTTGTTTCTGTGTATTACTTAACGAAAGGCATGGGGCTAGCTGAGACCAGATGCTGCTTGTTTGAAAGAATTTAGGAAAACCTGAAGCAGGATCCAAGACAGGCCAATCCTATGGTTAAGCAAGTGGCAACAGCTTGGGTGGGCCTGAAAGTTGGGTGGGGCGGGGCCTCAGGGAGTCAGCAGGGCGGGGCTACCAGTGTGAGCCAGGTTGCTGGAGTCCCAGATATGGAGACTGTCTGCCGCCCCAGGGAAGGGCTCACCAAAGGAACAAAGGCCTCTGACAGCATGTCTGTCCCGGAGAAAGCCCCCTCTCCAGCCCTCCCTCCGGTGCCAAACTGCTCAGTTCTTCCCTGTATGTCTCTGGTGCCCCTCGAGCTGCCTCCCCTCTGAGCTCAGAGGGAGCGAGTCTGATAAGTCCACGTCCGGGCCCTTTACGGAGCTGCCTGGGGCTCCAGCCGCATCAGCCTCCCTGAGCCTCAGTTCCTGCTGGTTTTCCAGCCAGAAGTGATGGGGATTCTCTTCCTGGCCCTGGAACCCTGAGCGGGGCGCCTGGTGTGGGACAGGGACCCCTCAGTCCTCAGGGAGGACCTTCCCAGCCGAGGTGTCCTCCTGATTTTTATCCGCCACACGTGGATGTGGGACCAGCCCGTCCCCTCCGCCCTCCTACCAGTCTCCATGTGGCTGCTGCTTTAATTCCGTAGTTGTAGGACTGCCATTCAGCTCCGAGTCAGGTGGTTCTGAATGATGGTTGTTCTATAGTTTACTTGTAACTTTGATGTGGTTGTGGGAGGACACGATACCGCGTTTACCTACACCACCATCCTGACCGGAGGTCTCCCATCTTCAACTTTTGACGTTACTGTGTTCTACTGGACTGAAGCTGTCAGCAGCCCCAAGGCCCCTCATCAACGTATGCACCATTAAGAAAGCAAAACACTGTCAGTTCACTATGATATTCCACTTTGAGGAATGTTAGAAAATGAAAAAAAAATGTGTCTGTTGAAAAAAAAAGCAGCTAAAATGGAGTCACTTTTGCTAAGTCATGTCACCAAACCAAACTTAATAACTAACCTAGTTGCAGCTTTAGTCTCTCCCAAGAGTGGAATTTTAAACCAACCAGCCTGGAATTTCCTGACCAACACCAGAGAGGCAGCTGCCCCCTAAGACCCCAGTCTTCCCCTAAGGGGACGTCTCCTGACTTGAAATCATCCACTTTTTAAACGTCTTAGTCCCACCCCATTTCTGCCTATTAAAACCTTCCACTTCATACAGCCCCTCAGAGCACCCTCGTAGCTGCCAGATGGGGTGCTGCCGATTCATGAATCCCTTAACAAAGCTAATTAGATCTTCAAATTTACTCCACTGAATTCTGTTTTTTAACATGCCTTAGGCCCAACGAAATATATTATGAAAGCAATTACTGCTTTTAAACACATCCTAGGGGAACACATCTTCATAAATATCCATATATTAAAAAGAACAGTTTACCAAACACTTACCCTGTGCCAGGCATTGTTGGAAAGTGTTTTTCATCCATGACCTCATATCAAGCATGGGCCAAATTTTCCTGTAAGGGGACAGAGGTAAATATTTTAGGCTTTGGGAACCAGATAGTGTCACAACTCAGCCCCCATTGTAATGAAAAAGTAGCCAGGGCAAACAAATGGGTGTGGTTGGGTTCCAATAAAACTTTATTTACGGACACAGAAATTTGAATTTCATATAACTTCCACGTCACAAAATATTCTTCTTTTGATTTTTCCCCCCAACCATTTAAAATATAGAAGCATAGCCCTGGCCTGTTTGGCTCAGTGGTTAGAGCGTCAGCCTGTGGTCTAGAGAGACCCAGGTCTGGTTCCCGCTAAGGGCATGTACCTCAATTGCAGTTTGTCCCCATCCCTGGTTAGGTCGTGCGGGTGACAACCACTCGATGTGTCCCTTTCATGTCGATGTTTCTCTCTCTCTCCCTCCCACTCTATCTGAACAAAAAATGAAAAAATGTCCTTGGGTGAGGAAAACAAAAAATAAAATAAAATAAATAAAATAAAATAAAATAGCATATTCTGCTCTGGCTGGGTAGCTCAGCTGGTTGGAGTATCTGTCCAGAAATGCCAAGGTTTCGGGTTTGATCCCTGGTCAGGGCACATACAAGAATCAACCAATGGATGCATAAATAAGTGAATCAACAAACCGATGTTTCTCTCTCTCTCTTTCTCTTTCGCCCTCTTTCTCTCTAAAATCAACAAATAAGAAAATCACTGTCTCAGCCATTCTTAGCTTGTGGGCTGTGTGAAGTAGGGAGCGGCTAGCTTTGGCTCGTGGGCTGCTTTTCTGACCCCTATCTCATAAGATCTTCATACCAGCTCTAGAAGATGGGTGTTATTATTATCCTCACTTTACACGTGAGGAAACGGAGTGTCTGAGGGGCAGAGTGACTTGCCCAAGGACATACAGCAGGTAGGATTCCAACCCCGGCAGTCCAACACTGTAACTTAGTTACCCTAAATATAAATGTGGTTTAGCCTAAATACGGTTGCCTATTAATATTTTGAACTTCTGTTCCTGATTACACACCTTTTCCATTTCCAAAGAAAAATTCAAATCATACAGTTATAAGGAAGAAAATGAAAGTAACCCCACCCTCCAAAGATAAACGCGTAAGGGTTTGAACATACAGCTCACACAACACTGACTAGAATTAGAATGTTCTGAACACTGTGTGACTTTGGATAGCTGCCTACCCTCTCTGGGCCCTTGTCTCAAGTTGTTACCAGAAAGGGGACCTGGCCCTTGGCAGGCAGGTCTGCTGGTCGGGGTAGTGTGTGGGTTCTTGACTTCCTGCAGGAAAAGATTCACAACACGTGAATTCCAGGTGAATTTCAGAAGCTGTTAGTTAAAGCTGGGGACAGTGAAACAAGGAAGGGCTGGGAAATGAGCCCAGGCTGGGCTGCTTTGGCTCATTAAGGAGTCAGAGAAAAGAGGGCCTTGGGGACAGGTTCAGGGGGTTCGTCTGGGACAAACTGCTGCTGCCTGGTGCTCCTGGTTGCAAGCCGCACCTCGCGGGGTTCCTCAGAGTCCGGGAAATGCTGCCTGTGGGGGAAAAAGGGGAATTGGGGAGGTGCAGGCGTGCTCCTGGGATGGAGGGGGCACCCCGGACCTGGACTTTCAGAGGTTTTACAGGCTGGGTGTTTAGGGGAGGTCTTAGGAGACGGCCAACAGACTATTCATCAGCTTTATGCTGATGTACCAGAATGAGATTTATTCTCTTAATTTGTCTGTCCTTGGGTGTGGTTGGCAAATGGCACTTAATTGGAATCGGTTATCTGTCGCCTTGAGTAGGGTGATTTAAGCTATTTACCCTCTGGTTGGGGAGAACTGCTGCAAGCCATTTACTCTTTTTTGCTTCTTTTTTTCTTCTTGGTATGTGCCCTAGCAGGAACCAAACCCGGGACTCTCTAGCCCGCAGGCCAACGCTCCAACTCTGAGCCAAACCGGCCAGAGCTCTTTTTTTTCTTCTTTATTGATTTTAGAGAGAGAGGAAGGGAGAGGGAGAGAGAGATAGAAGCATCGACTGACCGCCTCCTGCATGCCCCCCACTGGGGATTGGGTCCACAACCTGGGCATGAGCCCTGACCGGGAATCGAACCAATGACCTCTTGGTGCATGGGTCGACGCTCAGCCACTGAGCCACACTGGCCGGGCTACGAACCATTTACTCTTTTTTTTTTTATCCTCACCCGAGGATATTTTTCCATTTTTTGTACAGATAGAGTGGGAGGGAGAGAGAAGAAGGAGAGAGAGAGAGAAACATCGACGTGAAGGGACACATCGAGTGGCTGCCACCCGCACGACCAACCAGGGCCGGGGACAAACTGCAACCGTAGTACGTGCCCTTAGCGGGAACCGAACCCGGGTCTCTCCGGACTGCAGGCCGACGCTCTAACCGCTGAGCCAAACTGGCCTGGGCCGAACCATTTACTCTTAAGTGTCCTTGTTTAAGGGAACATAGGATTCACTAGGTGGCTGCAAACTGCCCTCAGTTGCCCTATTCCGCTTGCCCTGGAATTTTCCTGCTTCTTCGTATCTTACAACCAAACGAGAAGTGCCAGAATGATGCAGCTCTGCAGGCCCTCCCGGGGGACCTGTTCGGAAGGACTGCGCAATGGCACTACTTCTGTCCTAAGCCTGGGTGTGGAGGGTGAAGTCACCCCTTGCCAGCCCCACAGGATGGGCCAAGTGGCTGTTGAGTCTCCCTGCCTGTGGCTCTCCCGAATCCCCAGCACTGAGCGACCTCCAAGGCAGCAGGGACACCAGGCCTGAGCTGGGGGTCCCAGGAAGCTCGGGCTCCTTCCGAGGCTGGTACCAGGGACCATTCTGCCCAGAGCAGACCTCCAGACAAGCTGGGGTCAGAGACTTTGGCCAACACCGCCTGGGGTGCAAGATGCCTCCACAGGCTGAGGTTCCTTCAGCAGGATGGCTGGGTCCACTCCACCTCTGTCAGACGGGCCCAGGGTCTGGCCCTGCATCTGCCGATGCCCTCCTTGAGCCCGTTTCCTTGCCTGTGAAATGGGGGTAAGGACCACCTCCAGGGATTAGCCCATAATCCTATCATGATTAGTTCATGAGATGACACCTGTATGTAATTCGGGGGAAGAGGCATAAGTGGCCAATTCTGTCCCCTTCTCTTCTGATACTTTCCTCCCTCCCTCCCTCCCTCCCTCCCTTCCTTCTTTCCTTCCTTCCTTCCTCATAGTGGGAACCGAACCCGGGACTCTGGTCCGCAGGCCGATGCTCCAACCGCTGAGCCAAACCGGCCAGGACTCTTCTGATACCTTTCAACTGTGCACTTTGAAAAAGTTATTCCACCATGCCACAAATTGTGCAGCCATAGCTGCACCCAAAGTAGGGGGGGGGGGGTGGTCAAAGAGTGAGGACCACAGCCCTGCCCTCAAGCAACTCAGAGTGGGGCAGATAGGATCTAAGGGCCTTTGATACCATAGGAATGTGCAGACAAAGTCCTCCGGGCCCAGGGGCCGGAGAAGCTGGAGAAACCAGGAGAGGCTTCAGGGTGATGACCCCTTTGGCTGGGGTCTTGGAGGACGAGGAAAGATCATGACCAAGCCGGAGGCCAGCATCCTGGGGGGTGCGGGTAGCAGTGTGAGCAAAGGTGGGGGGATGGGAGGCTGCCTAGAAGACAGGAGAGTCAATGACAGGAGTTGGGGGCTGTCTGGCTGTCTGGCTGAGGCCTAGTGGTAGTGGGCTGTGGATTTGGTGGGAAAAGGGGAGTCATGGAGGGTACTGAGCAGAAGGAGGAGCCATCATACAGCACAGGGGGCCAGCAATAGAGCTGTGGGTTCTGAAAGAACACGGCTGTAGGAGCCAGCTCCCTCACCTGAGGGTACCCCACCCCGGGCCCTTTGTCACATATTATCTTATTTAGTCCTACATGGATCATTATCCCAGTTTACAAATGGGGAAACCAAGGCTCAGAATTGTAAAGCCTTCTGCCCAAGGTGACAGAGCAGACAGTGAGCTGAGGCCACTTCCTGTCATCTGTGAGAGTGACCCCCTCTCTCTTCCTGGGATCCCAGGACAGGTCCAAAGGTGACCGTCTAGCAATGCCAACCCCAGCTGTGCTGAGTCTTCCCACAGCCCCTAGAGGGGTGTGTCATTACCTCCATCACCGGAACGAGGGAGTGGAGACTCACTGAGGGGAGGTGACTCCCTCAAGGCCACACATTAAGGGTAGAGAGTCCAGGCCAGGCCTTCTGAGTTCAACCCTTCCTATTACTCCGCACTGCCTCAGTTTATTCCTACACACATCTAAAATCGAAGTCCAGCTCTTGCTGGTTTGGCTCAGTGGTTAGAGCATCAACCTGTGGCCCAAACGGTCGTGGGTTCGATTCTGGGCGGGGGCACGCACCTCAGTTGTGGTTCAATCCTGGGCCCTGATTGGAAGCAACCAATCGATGTGTCTCTCTCACATCGATGTTTCTCTTTCTCTCGCTCCCTCTCTCTCTCCCTCCCTCCCGCTCAATCTGAAAAAAAAATCAATGGAAGAGTGTCCTTGGGTGAGGAGTAAACATAAATAAATAAATTTTTTTAAAAAATCGAAGAGTCCAGGCCAGAAAGGCAGTGTTGTCTCTCACCCTCCTTGGTGGCCCTCTGCCCGCCAGGCCCACTATTTCAGCCCCTCTCTCCTCCTACAGTCTGCACACCAGGTTATCGGGGCCTCTGTGTGGCTCCACCTCCACAAGCAGCAGCATCTCCACTGCCTGGCCTGGGGGCCTCAGTCCCCAGTGCCACCAGATCCTCTGACCCAAGCCACTGTGTTTTCATCGGTCTCAAGGAGGGACCTTTTCCTGAGCTGAGCCCCTGTCCCTATCACTCCTGGTGCCTTGTGGTGACCTTCTCCCCAGGTTCTGGTGCCAGACCCCAAAACACACAGAGGTATGGATACAAAAAACTGCTCTGCTGGGAAGAGATTTAGTGAATCACAAGAAGGGGTGCGGTGCGGCCTGGGTTCCTTACACCCACCATCTCCCAACTGGGCTTCAAACCATCCACAAAGCAGGCGGTTGTAAGCCCGTTGTACAGATGTGTGCTCAGAGGCTCTGCTGGGAAAGAGATTTGATTGGCCTAGGATCCCGCAGCAGCAGAATGACCACAGGGGGGTCAAGCCATGTTCTTTCCAGAAAGGGATGAAGAGGAAATACCCGCGGCGCTGACCAATTTTTTTTTTTTTTACTTTTCAAAAGTTTTCTTTTTTTAAAATGTAGATAGAGGAAGGTATAATGAATACTCTTGGTAAAAGAAAAAAAAATGGGACAGTCAAATTGGTATGCTGTGAAAGTCAGCAGCTGTAACATGTTATGATTCAATGCAAAAAGTATGTTCAGTGCCTCAGCCGAATAAGTAGTATAAACAAAACAAATTTTTTCCTTTTTTTCTTTTTTTTAAGATACAGGGTGGGTGTTGCCATTTTCTGAGGACCTCTTGCTGCCCTCAGCCAATGTTCATCTGAAAGCAGAAAACGCCCTTAAAAAAAAAAAAAAAAAGGCAGCACTCAGCCCTGAACTTTTCTAGAACTCAGGCAGAACGTTTGAGCATGTGTGAACACAAGCTAAGCGAGGGAAATGCAGAAGTGGCCCCTGGTGATAACAGATCAACGACATAGGGACATAGGGTGGCAGTGAAATCACCCCACCCCCCACCCCTTGCCCCACAGGGCAGGGGAGGAAACCGCAGAATGTTCCTGACTCTGCACCCCGAGCCGGTGGCGCAATGTTTATGTTTGTGTACCTACCACGTCGTTGGTGCCTCCAGCCGGGCTCCCCTGCCCCCGGGGCTGTCAGTGGAGCTCAGGGAACGGGTGACCCAATGGGGTCTTCCCAAACGTTTGCCCAGGTTCTGGAACTCCTCCTTAAGCGCCTTAGGACCGAATTTCGAATTCAGCCCCTACAGATGACGAGAACCAGGGCGAGGGTGTCGGGTCGGCTCCAAACCCAGAGCACAGTAGGCTCCCAATCAGTATATACATAGGGAATAGAGATGGGGCGTCTCCATTTGTCTTAAGCAAACGTGACCAGAAACGTGCCTGGTGGCCCCCGGAGGGCGCTATCACCTCCCCGAAACTGCCGAACCCCTCAATCTAGGGGAGCGCCTTGCGACACACCCCCACTGAGATTTCAGACCCCTGAAACCCTCCGCTCAAAGCCTTCCAGGGACCATACCATTAAGAACGTTTTTTCCACCAAGGGTCTGCTCGGAAGGCACTGAACGTATTAAATGTACATTTTGCTAAGTAACAGGAACGTCTGGAAACAGGAAAACATTTCCCTGAACTCC